CCCACCCAGTCACATTACCCACCACCACCACCAAGCCACACCCACAGAACCGGTAGTAACAAATTTTACATTTCACCACTGCCTCTACCCATCTAGCAATAGGACTCAACACATGGCACCTTGGGGAGATTGCAACATCCAGCAAAATTCAACCAAGCTTGGGACTCAAGATACTACAAAGTTGCCCCTGCATGACACATGGGAGTCTGACAACCAATCAAAATACATTTCTTACACAGGAACAGTAAGCTCCAAGGCAGGGCCCAAGAGAGGGTATAAATCTCTCTCTCACACACACCCCTACCCCCATGTGCTCTTTTTTGCCCAGGACCCAAAAAACCCATGTGGTCCTGTCCATCAATAAACCATCTTTCCAAGTAGTCTCCATGTTTCCAGTGTCTTTCTTCCCACTTGGAACTGAACCCAGATGGACATTTCTTCCAACACCATTAAACCACAGAAGATGGATAGATTCCAGAAAGTCCTGTTGCTAAAGGCAGACGGGGGTCCTTATTAAGGCTTTAAGGAGCCTTGGCGGTGCAACGGAGTAAAGTGCTGTTAAAGTAGCACTTAGCTGCCAGCTGCCTGCAATTACTGCGAGTTCAAATCTCACCAGGCTCAAGGTTGACTCGGCCTTCCATCCTTCCGAGGTAGGTAAAATGAGGACCCGGTTTGTGGGGGCAATAAGCTGACTTTGTATAAAAAAGAACACCGCTTATGGGGGGCCAAAAGCCCTACTAAGCAGGTATATACAAAAGTATGAAGGCTATTGCTTAACGCATTGTAAGCCGCCCTGAGTCTTCGGAGAAGGGCGGCATATAAATCAAACCAATAAATAAAGAGCCTTGGTAGTACAGTGGTCTAAGGCACCCTGTTATTAAGCTGGTTATTAAGACCAGCTGCCTGCAATTACTGCAAGTTCGAATCTCGCCAAGGCTCAAGGTTGACTCAGCCTTCCATCCTTTCTAAGGTAGGTAAATTGAGGACCCAGTTTGTGGGGGCAATAAGCTGACTTTGTATAAATATACAAAAAGGATGAAGGCTATTGCTGAGCACATTGTAAGCTGCCCTGAGTCTCCGGAGAAGGGCGGCATATAAATCAAATTTAAAAAATAAATAAATAAATAAATAAATAAATAAATAAATAAATAAATAAATTTCATACTCATTGTCAGGTATGCTTCCTTCAGTATCCAGGAAAGAAAACCCCAAACTCAAGCATTTTGAAGAATTTAGTACTTTTACTGAATATGAAATGATAGCAACCCAGGTAAAGCTGGAAGTGAGCAAAACGCGCGAAATGCATCTACTAAGCTTCTCCCCCCGCCCCGTGTCCATTTGTCATCAGCCAATCCAAAGGCCTTCCAAAGGTCAGGTGGCAACACGTCTGGCAGCATCATTCATCAGGAATGTAGGGCAGTTGGTCAGCCGTCCCCTTTTGAAGTTCCAGTTTCGTTTCTCATGACGACACATCCTACAAGGAAAAAAAAACACCTCTTGCTTCTTCCTCCCCTTTGCTCCACAACTAAACCCTCCCCTGTTTCTTATGGCAGCTGAAGCAGGCAAAGCTGAGGCTGACACTCATCTGTAATCTAAGAGGCCATTTGCTAGAATTAATGGACTGCATATTTTCTTTGCTTATAGGGCTAATGGCCACATTTAAAGTGGTTCATATACACAAATATATTTCTGTTTGCGTAGATTTTCACGGGTAGAGGTATGCAAGTTTTGGTGTATTCGGGTCTTTTCCCGTGTAAGATTGAGAGTATCTTGGTGACGTTTCGACGAGGTCCCACTCGTCATCTTCTTTCCTCGCACAAGCACGAAGCCGAAGACACCAGCCTGAAGATGACGAGTAGGACCTCGTTGAAATTGTCACTGCGTTTTTGTATTTACCAGATGAGCTCTTATTTTTGAACTTTCAGACTTACCGTAGCTTGCCAAGTTCTTATCTTTAAGCTAACTGCGCATGTCCACATTCCTTCACTTTCTTCTAACTTTTCTTTGTTTTCCGGTCAAGAGAGGTAGCCAGGAAAGCTTTGCCAAGATGTAATTAATTAGATTAGTAAGATGTTTTATTTTCTTTATAACAAATAAATGAGTTTTTCTTAGAAAATATATCTTCGGGTTTATTTTCTTAAGGTATACTTCAAGGAAAGGCCTCAATCCGTTCTCTAATCAAGGTGCAATTACCCAAAAGCAGAATGGGATTAATTGCCACCCTGACAGAAACGTCGCCAAGATACTCTCAATCTTACACGGGAAAAGACCTGAATACACCAAAACAAATATATTTCTCCATCTACATTTACATCTGCATTTATTTATGTGTGTCTGTGTATCCATGGCTGTGTGTGAGTGTGTATGTCGGTGATTGCTACTGACAGGCTCCCAACATCGTGTGGAATGGGATTGTTCTGTGGCTTCTCTGTTATCCCCTTCACCCACTTTGCTTCTGAATTATCTACTTCATTTCCCTGACTCCTACAGAAAAGTCAGATTCTGAATTCTGTCCTCTGGACTATGAAATAAAATTAGAGGGCCAGACCAGACTACACAAGACAATGCATGCCCCCATTGGGTCATTGTTTCAGAGGCAATTTCCTTACCTAAACAGAGAAACAGAAGGACCAAGGGGGATGGGGGAGGGAGAGAGAAGTGAGACGGGAGCAACTTCTGACTTCCTGCTGGCTTCCCCATTGAGTATGCTTAGGAAGCATTGGTAACCCTCTCAAAAGATGGAGGGGAGAGGGAAGAGGGAGAGGAGAGGGGAGAGGGGAGAGGGGAGAGGGGAGGGGAGGGAAAGGAAAGGAAAGGAAAGGAAAGGAAAAGGAAAAGGAAAAGGAAAAGGAAAAGGAAAAGGAAAAAGATAAAACAAGTGGGAGGGAAGTGTTGGAAGAAATATTCTTCTGGGTTCTGCTCTAAGTGGAGAAAAAGACATTGGAAACATGGAGTCTGCTTGGAAAGATGGTTTAATGGTGGACAGGATCACATGGCTTGAGTTCCTGAACAGAAAAGGAGGCAGATACAGTGAGTCTCCAGGTTTTATGCTTTCTCTGGCTTTGAACTTCCTGGGGCCCAGAAAGAGTATCCTGATTGGTTGTCAGATTCCCAGGGGGTGGGGGGTCTTAGCTAGCCTTGCTGGCTGATGTAATCTTCCCAGGTGCCATGTGGCGAGTTTCTGTCTAGATGGGTCCCATTGTGTTAGTTTCTGTTGCTATTGTGTTGCAGATGAAGGTCCATTGACAAAGATTGAGTTTCTGCCTCTGGCCCATTGACAAAAGGGTGGGGGCAGGAAGGTGGGAGCTGCTTTGTCTTTAAAAACATGCTTCTCCATTTCTCATCCAGGGAAACATAATATTCTGCCTTTTTAATATTTCCCAAAATATTTCATTCTTCCAGGAAAGGGGTGGGTGCTAACTTCCTACAGAAGAGAAGGGGATAAATGGGGGAAGAGGGGAAGGGGATAAATGGGGGAAGAAGGGAAGGGAAGGGAAGGGAAAAGATAAAACTAGGGGGAGGGAAAGGAAGGGGATAAATGGGTGAAGAAGGGAAGGGAAGGGATTTTCTTCTTGAAAATCTTTAGTAATGGGGCACCCACAACTTCTGGAAGCAAGCTGTTCTACTGATTAATTGCTCTCAATGTCAGCAAATTTCTCCTTAATTCTAGGTTGGATCTCTCTTTAAGGAGCTTCCATCCATTATTTCTTGTCCTGTCTTCGGGTGCTTTGGAGAAGACATCAGACCTCGCAGCAAGTACTATATAATCCTTTTGAGGTTTCCTTTCTTATTGGATGGAATTTGGCTCCTGGAGCAGCTGAACATCAGAAATGGCCTCTTCTAAGCCAAATGTAGCTTAAAGCAGCTGTAGAAATCTGATCTTAAGGCAGGAAGGCATTAACAAGCTCCCAGAGAACTTTTGATACCTGACCCTAGCAAATGACCTTGTAGCAGCCAGGTGTGAACAGGAGAAAGGTGAGCGATGGATTTTTCCAAAAAGAATGAAACACAGGATGGTAATTGGAAGTGACATCCAGGAATTACTCCGTGCCTTTAAAAATTCATGCTTTGAATGCTGATTCTCTTTGCCCCCTTCTTAAATGAGCTGTTTTTTTCAGTATCTATGAAAAAATGAAGAGTAGAATTCTCAATTCAGTTACCTGGACGCAATAGCCAATCATCACCATCCAAATTATCATCATCACTAAGATCATAATACAAGGATATTACCTTATAAACATTTTCCTGGAGTTGAAAAGAACTCATAATCCAGTTATGTGGATATGTTTGCTGGACCTCTTGCTATGAAAAACAGCTTTTTATACAAAAAGAAAAAGAGTGGGGGAGAGAGGGAGAAAGGGAGAGAAAGAGTGAGAGAAAGAGAGAGGGAAAGAAAGAAACAGAGAGGGGGAAAGAGAGAGAAGAAAGAGAGGGGGAGAGAGAGGGAAAGAAAAAGAGAGAGGGGGAGGAAAGAGAGGGAGAAAGAGAGAGAAGGAAAGAGAGGGGGAAAGGGAGAGCAAGGGAAATGGGGGAAGGGAGAGAAAGAGGGAGAGGGAAAGAGAGAAAAAGAGAAAGAGGGGGAAAGAGGGAAAGGGAAAGGGAAAAAGAGAGAGTGGGAAAGAAAAAGAGAGGGGGAACAGAGGAGGGAAAGGGAGAGAAAGAGTGAAAGAAAGAGAGAGGAAAGAAAGAAACAGAGAGGGGGAAAGAGAGAGAGAAAGAGAGGGGGGAGAGAGAAAGAAACACAGAAAGAAACAGGAAGGGAAGGGAAGGGAAGGGAAGGGAAGGGAGGGAGGAAGGAAGGAAGGAAGGAAGGAAGGAAGGAAGGAAGGAAGGAAGGAAGGAAGGAAGGAAGGAGGGAGGGAAGGAAGGAAGGAAGGAAGATTTGATTGATAGACTATTCTGAAGAAAAAGTTTTGTTTAGGCGTCCTTCCCTGATAATTAATTGTTGAGAATCATTCCTCTGTGTTTTGAAGCTTCATTTGATTTCAGGGCACAATTTCCTTAATGTCCCTGAGTAGAACCGAGGGATTTGAAAATGAGGCTATCACTTTGCAAAAGGGAGCCATCTTCCCCATCTGTAATAAGAATAATAAGCAATTAATATTTTATAAAACTTCGACAGAGCATGTTCAGCAGCAATTATCAGGCCTGTAACACAAGGCCAAGGAAGATGAAGGAATTAGGATGATCAAGGTTGGTGGAAATTATGATTGGCAGGGCTAGGAGGAAGAAGAAAAGGAGAAAGGGGAAGAAATTAAATTAGCTTTTGTTGCAAACATTTCCACCTTAGACCTTGGAGTGTAATATTAAACCATGAAACAACAACATATCAGAATTCCTGTCAGGTCCAAAAGATCAGGTCCACATGTCGAGATTCAATTAAACTGTTTTATTGCTAAAAGCTTATGCCCAGAAATCTCCTCAACTAACAGTGGGCACCTACTTACAGTTAGATAAGGGTTAACAGCACTCAAGAGGGTCTGGAGACTTCATTCTTTTGTGACTACGTGGGGATTCTAGGCTGATCGCTCTTTTAACTCCATTCCCAGGTTCTGCCATCTCTTCTCCTACAGTTCCTCTAGCAAACATAAAACTCGGAACAGATTGGAGACATGGGTGTCGTGATGTAAGAAGAACTTGAAAACATAGGACAATATCACAGGAGATGGAAACTGCGAATGTGGGGAAATTGCAGAATCCTGAACATTTATTGATAGGCCATAAACACGATGGACTATGTACAATGGACGATTCATTCCTGGCCAACGATAAGACTATTCAGAACGCTACTCTCTGGGCCCCAAAGGCTATAAAATGTCACGTAAGAGTTTGAAATTCCCTTCTGTATTTTGATTGTCATATTTGTTAGGTAGTTATTGAAAGTTCTTTTTTTATTTTAGACTACTATACTAGTTTAAATGTTATATTCTCTCCTTTTAATGTAAGAATAGATAGATAGATAGATAGATAGATAGATAGATAGATAGATAGATAGGATAGATAGGAATGATGATATAGATAATAGATAGATAGATAGATAGATAGATAGATAGATAGATAGATAGATATAGATATATATGTATGTAGGTCTTTGGTTATTCGGGTTTTCTCCCGCATAAAATTGGAAGTGTCTTGGCGACGTTTCGACAAAGTCTCGTTCGTCATCTTCAGGCCGGTGTTTTTGGCTTCGTGCTTCTAGGAGCAATGTGAGATTGCAGCTGTTTCTTCCTTTTAACTGCTAGTGGGGGTGTGAACTGATTGGGTGGGAGCTTGGCTGTGTTCTGATTGGGTGGAGGTGTGTTCTGATTGGTTGGGGGTTTGGCTGTGCTCTGATTGGATGTATTACATACAAAACCCACGAAAACCTCAGAAAACAAATATATATATATATAGAGAGAGAGAGAGAGAGAGAGAGAAAGAGAGTGAGTGAGAGAGGTAATGATATAGATACATGATGATAGATAGATAGATAGATAGATAGATAGATAGATAGATAGATTAATTATAGATAGATGAGAGAGAGAGAGAGAGAGAGAGAGAGAGAGAGAGAGAGAGAGAGAGAGAGAGAGATATGATAGCTAGATAGGCAGGCAGACAGACAGACAGACAGATGTACCTAGGGATAGGTAGAAATAGGTATAGATAGATAGAGGTATAGATAGATATAGCTATAGATAGATATAGAGAGAGCAAGTGAGAGAGATGATAGAGAGATCACACACACACACATATTCACACACACACACACACACACACACATACAGATATATATTCCTCAGGGATACAGTGGCTCAGTGGCTAAGATACTGAGTTTGTCGACCGAAAGGTCAGCAGTTCAGCGGTTCGAATCCCTAGTGCTGCGTAACGGAGTGAGCTCCCGTTCCTTGGCCCAGCTTCTGCCAACCTAGCAGTTCGAAAGCATGTAAAAAATGCAAGTAGAAAAAATAGGGACCACCTTTGGTGGGAAGGTAACAGCATTCCATGAACCTTGGGCATTTAGTCATGCCGGCCACATGACCACGGAGACGTCTTCTGACAGCACTGGCTCTTTGGCTTTGAAACAGAGATGAGCACCGCCCCCTGGAGTCAGGAATAACTAGCACATATGTGCGAGGGGAACCTTTACCTTTACCTGATATATTCCTCAGCCAAGAAACAGACATGAGTATTGCATCCTAGAGTCAGACAAATCTGGACAGGGAAACCTTTATCTTTAATCTGTAATTCATCTTGATTAGGTTGACCAGCAATTCCTAGCATGAATGGAAGATGGTATGAAAAAAAAAAATCTCAAAGATGAAAGTTTAGTTGAAGTTTTTGAAGAGATTGGGAAAATTACTCAGCACTGTTTTATAATGGTTTTATTATCCATAATTCATCAGGCATATAAATCAATGCATCATAAAACATGATTTAATTCCTGTTAACTGTCACCTATAATTTGGAAAATTAAAATAATCTTCCATTAGGATCTTTTAAAGTATGGGTAATTGTTCCACGGTGAAAATCTAACACAACAGACAGCTTTGAAAACCCTTGCAATGAAGGAGAAATTAACTGAAATCTGATAATCACTTCTCAGCTACTACAAATATTTTTTAAATATTTGTTTCTTGTACAAATGTGACTCTATAAAAACGTGTTGATAATTAAATTGCTTGTATTTCTCTTTAAAATCACGCATATATTCCTCTGTGTATGTCTGTTCTGTGTATAGCTAAAATGACTGTACACACAAATCTAAAAACACACAAGATACATATATATAAAGTGTTTTTCTGTCAAAACACCTGGTCTACCCCAACATGTGGGAGGAAGAATACTGCTTCCCTTTCGCCTTTCAGCTCCAATCCAGGAACCCCCAAGCAGTCGCATTCACCACAAACCATTTTATACCAAATTCATATTTGCTGATAAAGAAATAAAGGGAGACTAGTATTGATCTATTTCAAGCTATTTAGCTCTCATCAGCTAGCCATATCCTTATTCGGATTCGAACTTGGGCTGCCTGCATATTAGGCAGTTGTAATAACCTCTGAGCCACAAGTTCTCCTCCCTTTATCAGCTTGAGCCAGGGGAGAGAGTGTTTTTCATGAGGTTTGTTTTATTTTCTTCAAATGTTCCTATCATTGGTTGATTCATCCTTTTTTTTAATTCAATATTTTCTGTATGTGTTGTTTCATTTAAAGGCAGGATCAAATTTACATTTTCATGAATCGCTGATATGGCTTTGCTGATTTCTTTGCATAAATTTCATCATTTTGTTCCCTGGAAACCACTCTTTTGCAAATCCTGTTGCAAATCCAAATTACATTTGTATCTTCAGCCCTGTTAAAACATACAAACAAGGTTGTTTATAGGTTGGGAAACCATAGTAAGCAAATAACGTTGAGCTGAAAACAGTCAGCATATTGTTAGGAATCAAAATGAAAATACTGTTTTCATGTTGGGGTTTGAGGGATTAGTCCATTAGTTATTGGACTTCATTTTAGCAGGTTTATAAGAACAGGTCTTGAAAGAATTAAAACAATTCCATCTCACTTAGATCCCTGTTGAATACAACCAACATCTTAGGTAACAATGTACCAATGGACAATGGATTACAATGCAGTGTTTTTGACTTTTTAAAGTTTAATGAAGTTGAATTTGTTGTTGTTAGTTGTGAAGTTGTGACCTCATGGACAACGTTCCTCCAGGCTTTCCTGTCCTCTACCATCCCCCAGAGACCATTTAAACTCACGCCAATTGCTTCAGTGACTCCATCCAGCCATCTTGTTCTCTGCTGTCCCCTCCATCGTTCCCAGCATTAGGCTCTTCTCCAGTGAGTCCTTCCTTCTCATTAGATGGCCAAAGTATTTGAGTTTCATCTTCAGGATCTGGCCTTCTAAAGAGCAGTCAGGGTTGATCTCCTCTAGGACTGACCGGTTTGATGGCCTTGCAGTCCAAGGGACTCGCAGGAGTCTTCTCCAGCACCAGAGTTCAAAGGCCTCAATTCTTTGGTGCTCAGCCTTCCTTATGGTCCAACTTTCACAGCCATCCATTGCAAGTGGGAAAACCATCGCCTTGACTATGCGCACTTCTGTTGGCAGGGTGATGTCTCTGCTTTTTAGTACGCTGTCTAGATTTGCCATAGCTTTCCTCCCCAGGAGCAAGCCTCTTTTAATTTCTTGGCTGCAGTCCCCATCTGTGGTGATCTTGGAGCCCAGGAAAATAAAATCTGTCACTACCTCCATTTCTTCCCCATCTATTTGCCAGGAATTGAGAGGGCCTGATGCCATGATCTTAGTTTTCTTAATGTTGAGTTTCAATCCAACTTTTGCACTCTCCTTCTTCACCTGCATCAAGAGGTTCTTTAGTTCCTCTTCACTTTCTGCCATTAGAGTGGTATCATCTGCATATCTGAGGCTGTTGATATTTCTCCTGGCAATCTTAATTCCAACTTTTGATTCATCTAGCCCCGCCTTTCTCATGATGTGCTCGGCATATAAATTAAATAGGCAGGGCGACAGTATACAGCCTTGTCGGACTCCTTTCCCAATTTTGAACCAATTAGTGGTTCCATGTCCAGTTCTCCCTGTTACTTCTTGACCCGCATATAGGTTTCTCAAGAGACAAATAAGATGATCTGGTACTCCCATCTTTTTGAGAACTTGCCACAATTTGTTGTGATCCACCCAATCAAAGGCTTTAGCATAGTCAATGAAGCAGAAGTAGTTATTTTTCTGGAACTCCCTAGCTTTCTCCATGATCCAGCATATGTTTTGCCTAAAATTTCATCCTGCAAGAAGAAAAAAAAAGCTACAAATGTAAAAAAAAAGAACCTTGTATAATACAATTAAGAATAAACTGAATATTTTCTGCAATGCTAAAAAGGGGCACCCATTAAATAACCTAATTATCCAGGGCTGAATAGAATAGAATGGAATGGAATGGAATGGAATGGAATTGGAATGGAATAGAATAGAATAGAATAGACTAGACTAGAATAGAATAGAATAGAATAGAATAGAATAGAATAGAATAGAATAGAATAGAATAGAAAATATGGAGTGAATGGAATGGAATGGAATGGAATGGAATGGAATGGAATGGAATAGAATAGAATAGAATAGAATAGAATAGAATAGAATAGAATAGAATAGAATAGAATAGAATAACAAAGTTGGAAGGGACCTTGGAGGTCTTCTAGTCCAACCCCCTGCTTAGGCAGGAAACCCTACACCACTTCAGACAAATGGTTATCCAACATCTTCTTTAAGGTACTATATAGAGAATATAGGTTTTATTGGCTGACTCAGATATGGCAACATGTGGCTCAAATTTTATTCCATCACAGGAACTGAGAGCCTTGGGACAAAATGAGTTTCAAAGAAGAATTTCCTGAAAATAAGAAAGATAGCATCACCCAAAGGAATTGATAGCATGAAAGAAATACCGTAGTTATTTAAGATGGTGACAGAGTCTAGGAGTTGAAGGTAACTGAAAAGACTATATTAAGATGAAAAAGGAAAGATAAGACAGAAGGGTAAGGGTGGCAAAGACCCTGAAAGTAATGAAGATGGATTTCGGCTGGACCTAGGAGCCAACATGAAATGAGAATGTGGATTTAAGAGGATACATCGCTTGATTTGAAGAATGGAAGTTATGACTGAGGTTAGCAACACGATACTGGAGAGCGGGGGGAAAGCATAAATGGGAGATAGTGAAATGTTTAGGCTGAAGGTTTCAGCTGACAAGATGGAAAGGAAAGAAGGGAATGTGAGAAGAGGGAAGGGAATGAACCTGTCAATTTCTTGTTCACCTGATTGTTTCTATGAATTCACCCCGAGGCAATGGTGGGTTCCTCCCGGTTCGGTCCGGTTCGGCCGAGCCAGTAGCGGTGATGATACGACGTCACCGAACCGGTTCTCCCCCCCCACCCTCCCCCCCACCCCACCCCACGTTATTCTTACCTTTTATTTGGTCCCACCCCCAATCTATTGCTGCCTCCTGAGTCCCAGCTGATGACTAGAGGGAAAAAAAACTGTTTATTGCCGCGGGGCTTCAAAGGGCCGCCCTACAGCTGATCAGTGTTAAGAGCAAACAAATGAGTCGGGTCGTAAGTGCGAGGACCTTCCAGAAATGACTCTGACCAGCTAGCCACGCCCACCTAGTCACATGACCTCCAAGCCACACCCACAAAATAAGCCACGCCCACAGAACCGGTAGTAAAAAAATTTAGAACCCACCCCTGCCCCGTGGGTTCCTTTTCCTGTCCCACTTGTGTAAATGAAGAGAGGGTCGTAAGAACGTAAGCAGAGCCCTGGTGGATCAGAGCCCACCTTATCCAGCAGTTTGTCTTCACAATTATTAACAGATTATTAACAGATTAACAGAGTTGGAAGAGACCTTGTAGGTCATCTAATTCAACCCCCCGCCCAAGCAGGAGACCCTACACCATTTCTGACAGATTGCAGTCCAGCCTCTTCTTGAAAGCTTCCAGGGATGAAGCTCCCTCAACTTCCGAAGGCAACTTCTGTTCCATTGTTTGATGGTTCTCACTGTCAGAAAACTTCTCCTTATTTCTACGTTGAATTTCTCCTTGATCAGTTTCCATCCATTATTCCTTGTCTGGCCTTCGGGTGCCTTGGAAAACATCTTGACCCCTTCCTCTCTGTGACAGCCCCTCAAATATTGAAAGACTGCTTTCATGTCTCCTCCTGGCCTTCTCTTCACTAGACTAGCCATGCCCAGTTCCTGCAATTGTTCTTTGTATGTTTTAGCCTCCAGTCCCCTCATCATCTTCGTTGCTCTTCTCTGCACTCTTTTTAGTGTCTCAACATTTTTTTTATAGTGCAGTGACCAAAACTGGATGCAGTACTCTAAGTGTGGTCTTACTAAGGTTTTATAAAGTGATATTAGTACCTCAGTTGATCTTGATTGAATCCTTCTGTTAATGCAGTTTAGGATTGCATTGGCTTTTTTGGTTGCTGCTGCACACTGTTGGCTCATATTGAGCTGGTTGTCCACTAAGACTCCAAGGTCCCTCTCACAGTTACTGCTATTAAGCCTGGTTTCGCCCAGTTTATATGTCTACTTTTGGTTTTTCTTGCCTAAGTGTAAGACTTGGCTTTTCTCTACATTGAATTTCATTTTGTTAGATAGGGCCCAGTGTTCAAGTCTGTCAAGATCCATCTGGATCTTGAGCCTATCATCTAGGATGTTGGCTATTCCTCCCAGCTTAGTGTCATCCGCGATTATGAAGGACACTTCTGACGAGATGGAACTCTCAACTCTCAGAATTTCAGCTCATGTGGAAGCAGTTGAATATAGAGATCGTCCTCCTTGCCTAAATACAGGTAGTCCTCAATTTATAATTGTTCATTTAGCGACCGTTTGAAGTTACAACAGCACTGAAAAAAGTGACTTATGTTCCATTTTCCACACTTACAAGTGCTGGGGGCACTGTTGTGACCTAGGCTCACTTAGTCATTACAAGACACAATTAGTCCCAAACAAACCTATTTTATTATAACAGCTGAGAATTATTTCATTCCCAGCTTAGTCCAAATTAATTCCAAAATAAGTCCTTCAGAAAAAGTCCTTTGGGCTTATCACAAGCCTTTATCTTCTTTAGCACCCTGCCAAAGGCCTTTCTTGGCAAAGCCCCACAAAATTCAGAAATAAGAGACACCGACTGGAAACAGATTTAGCAACGTTGCTTTCCTACAAAGAGCCCAAGAGCCTTTGTTGCTCTTTTAAGCCTTATGGGAGGGGGCAATCATCTCCTGGCCTTACTCCTGAGTCGTCCTTTTTGCTTTAGCTGTTCTTGCCTTCTGGCAGCTCTGCGCATGTGTGCACTAGGAACAGGCTCCTCCTGTTCCTCTGCCTCTCTGATGTCTGACTCTGGAGGCTCCGGAGTCCGTGCATCACTCCCAGATGGCCCTGACCCCATCACTGCCTCCGACACAGAGCCCTCATCCGGGCCTTCCCCAGACTCCAGGACTGGCCCATGTTCCTCCCCAGCCTCTTCACTGTCCGACTCCGCAGCTAGCTTCGTGGGCTGCTGGCGAACCACAACAGGCATGGTGGTTAGAATGCAGTATTGCAAACTAACTCTGCTCATTGCCAAGAGTTCGATCCTGATCAACTCAAGGTTGACTCAGCTTTCCATCCTTCCGAGGTCGGTAAAATGAGGATTTTGCGGAGCAATATGCTGACTCCGTAAACCACTTAGAGAAGGCTGTAAAGGACCATGAAGCAGTATATAAGTCTAGGTGCCATTGCTATTGCAACATCTCCATGGTTACATAATCAAAATTCAGAAGCTTGGCAACTGCCTCATATTTATGATGGTTGCAATGCCCCAGGATCATGTGATTTCCTTTTACAACCTTTTGACAAGCAAAATAATGGAGAAGCTGGATTCACTTAGCAGCTATGTTCCTAACTTAACGACTGCAGAGATTTACTTAACATCTGTATCAAGAAAGGTCGTAAAATGGAGCATAATTCACTTAACAACTGTCTCGCTTAGCAACAGAAATTTGGGGCTCTATTGAGGTCATATGTCCATTGCATTGCTTAAAAGCTTCATATCTGTCAAGACTATGGTGAACCTTCAGATGTCAGCAAAGCAAGGCAGAAATATTTTGCTGCTGCCATCTAGTGGTTGTCTGGATGTTGCACTCCAATTAAGTTAGCTCTAATTAACTACAACAATCAGCAAGGCAATGAAAGGAAAGGAATTGCACATTAACTCTCCTGTGCTCACAATAGTATCACCTGAACGGTTTGTTTTCACACCTTTCCACTCTTAAAGTCAGTTCCTTTCATTCATGCATCGGTTTGCAATTTTGTTTTAATAGCACATAAAATGTCCATCGATTTTTTTGTGTGTGTGCGAACTTCGCCGAATAAATGCTGTTTTATATGCCTGTGAGTTTAATTATAGAACTGCTTCTTAGCATTACAACACTTGAAAAAGTGCAAATAATCTGCATATCGATGTTGGGAAGTATAAATTAAGGAAGTTGGCATGGAAGGTGCCAAGACCAGAATAACACATGAAATTCCAATTAAACTGATTTATTATTACTCATGCATTCATACACAGGAATCTCCTCAACTAATAGTTAGCCCTGTTTTGGCGTTAGATAAGAGTCAATGGCATTAAAGAGGGGTTGAAAATATATAGAAATTCTCAGTCATCCAGGTGCTTTTTCAAGAGGCCGCTGGACTTTCTGGCTTTTCTTTGAAGACGTTTTGCTTCTCATCAGTGGTGAAATCTAAAATTTGTTACTACCGGTTCTGTGGGTGTGGCTTGGTGGGGGGGGTAATGTCGCTGGGTGGGCGTGGTACATTTTTTTTTTTTTACTTTTAAAACCATTTTTTCTACAACCTCTTCGGCGAAGAGGTTGTAAAGGGCGAAAAGGCACTGACGATCCAAGCTGAGTTGCCTGATCGTCAGAGGCATTTAAAAGAAAAAAAGCCTCTGCAGATCAGGCAACTCAGCTGAAGAGGTGGTAGAAAAAATGCTTTTAAAAGCCTTTGACGATCCCAGCTGAGCCGCCCGATCATCAGAGGCTTCTTTTTTTTTTACTTTTAAAAGCATTTTTTCGGCTGAAGAGGTTGTAGAAAAAATGCTTTTAAAAGTTAAAAAAAAAGCCTCTGATGATTGTGCGGCTCAGCTGGGCATGAGGTGGTGGGGCAGGGATTTTTGCTACCGGTTCTCCGAACCACTCGCCTCCATCGCTACCGGATCGGGCGATCCAGTCTGAACCGGGAGCATTTCACCCCTGCTTCTCATCCAAGAAGCTTCTTCAGCTCTGACAGGATAGTGGGGGAATGGAAGGATTTATATTCCTTGCAAACAGCTGGACATTTGCATCTTTTTGTCAGAGCTGAAGAAGCTTCTTGGATGAGAAGCGAAGCATCTTCAAAAGAAAAAAACCAGAAAATCCAGTTGCCTCTTGAAAAAGCACCTTCGGGACAACCACGACTTGGATGGCTGAGATTCTCCATAGACATTTATTGCTTTTAGAACTATTGATCTTTTATCGTTTTATTGCTTTCAGTGTCATAAGGTTTCAAAGAGTCACTTCCAAGCGAGATGGGCAGCAAACAAATTTAATAAATAAGTTGTCTTTGGACGAGCTTTTTGGCTGCTTCTTTTACTCTACGGATAGTCCTCGACTTATGACAGTTCATTTAGTGACCACTCCAAGTTACAACAACACCGGAAAAAGTGACTTACGACCCCCGTTCACACTTATGACCATTGCAGCATTCGCATGGTCTGCGATCAAAAGTTGCATGTGATCAAAATTCAAATGCTTGGCAACTGGCATGTACTTATGACAGTTGCAGTGTCCCAAGGATCACCTTTTTGTAACCCTCCAACAAGCAACGTTAATAGGGAAGCCAAATTCACTTAACAACCCTGTTACTAAATTAACAACTGCAGCGTGATTCGCTTAACAATGGTGTCAAAAAAAGGACACAAACTGGGGCAAAGCTCACTTAACAAATGTCTCGCTTGGCAACAGAAATTTGGGGCTCAATTGTGGCCGTAAGCCGAGGACTCTCTGTGCTTGGACCATCACTTTGATGAATGATCTATGGCAGGAGTGTCAAACTCGATTTCATTGAGGGCCGCATCAGGGTTGTGTTTGACCTCAGGGGGCTGGGATGGGTGTGGC